AGTAAGGCACTTGTTACTACTAGCGTGGCACTTGTTACTAGTAGCTTTCATTTGCTACCGGTTCCTTTTGCTAGGTTGGAGGATCAGTTCTTGTGGTTCACTTCACGGCACCCGGTCGGCACCCGGCACGGCCTCTCTTTGAAGGCACGAACGTGTAAAGATGACTGAAATGAAGGCGCAAAGCTACCAGCAAACCTGGCACCGTCGAACGCTTGGCACAACTGCTTTAGGATAGTCACTGACAGTATCGATCACTACATAGCAAAGGCCAACAACTATAAGGACTTTCATATCCGGGGAGGCCATCGCTAATTGATTCAACGGAGTACTTAGAAGCTGGGCTCGTGGCCGTACTACTAGGAGCAATCGGACGCTACGAACGGGGCTCCTGGCCCTACTAGCCTCGCTACTAGGAGCAAGAAACTATTAGGTATGTAGCGGTATGTAGCTATTAGGAGCAAGAACGCTACTAGGAGCAAGGACGCTACTAGGGGCTCCTGGCCTCGCTACTAGTAACAAGGACGCTAGTAGGTAGTAGCTATTAGGGTAAAAAGGGCTACTGAAGTTCTGTTGGGGTCGGCACTCGGCACCCCGCACCGAATGTACGGTCAACAGCTGTCAGCGGTCGCAGCCCAACAGCTAAAGGAAATCAAGGAGCAAAAATTCACCACTTCTCATGTATCCAACAGCCACTAATTAATAAGCTACTAATTATAATTCTTTTTAATTCTAATTATAATTCTTGTTTCTAATAGCAAACATTGTTACTACTAGTAAGGCACTTGTTACTACTAGCGACGCACTTGTTCCTAGTAATGCAGCCAAGGTGCCTGCAGACCAAATGAATATTCTCCTCCAAAGCGGGAACCGGGTAGGCCACTCTCGACAGATCTCAATGCAATTCTTTATGCATCAAACAGTGCTCAACCATCTTCCTTTTGAAGGTGTCCAAGGTGTCCTCCAACCTAACAGCAAAGGGAACCTAATAGTGATGGCCTCCAACCTACTAGCGATGCTTTCAACACCAAACTGCGACGTTGACTATTTTTGCTACGTCTCAAGAACACACATCGCGAAATGCTGCTAGCAAAGGAAAGGTCAGAACCTTTCGAACGAACTACCAAAGGTCGATACTTGCACTCTAATGGTCCTAATGGTCGATTCGTCTTTCCACAGATTGCGGCTAACAGGCGAAGGGACGTGTTACAAGTAGCTTCTTGTTACTACTAGTAAGGCACTTGTTACTACTAGCGTGGCACTTGTTCCTAGTAGCGATGTCCTTGTTACTGGTAGCTTCTTGCTACTAGTAGCGATGCCCCTGTTACTAATAGCGATGCAGCGATGCCCTTGTTGACTTCCTTTTTTTCGTTCGCAATGCAGATCCGCATGCTTTTGTCGGCAAGGTTACCCTCTTCGAAGCTTTAACATTCTCAATATCCGTGGAACAAGTGTGTTGCTGAAGCCAAGGAAGAACTAAATCCAACCAGTGATCCCTTTTGTTCAAAGAGCATAACAAGTGATCCAACAAGTAGCCTTGCCGACTAAGATCTCCAAGATGTCACCTGCAACCCCGACAGGTGGCTGCTCCGCGGCTGTACGGTGAAACGGCAAAGCAGGGCGGCTTGCGCGGCTTGCGGCCCCCAACATGCAAACCCGCCGCTTGTGGCCTCAGGACTAAGGACGACTGGAGAGGGGAGAAGAGTGAGGCAGATCCTAGGAGCTCCTAGTAGCTTCTTGTTCCTAGTAGCGATGCCACGAGCCCCTAGTAGCGTCCTTGCTCCTAGTAGCGATGCCCTTTGCTCCTAGTAGCTTCTTGTTCCTAGTAGCGTCCTTGTTAATAGTAGTAAGGCCAGGAGCCCCTAGTAGCATTCTTGCTCCTAGTAGCGATGCCAGTAGCCCCTATTAGCGTCCTTGCTACTATAAGATTTTTGTTCATAGAAACCGCACAATTGCACCTAATTGTATAGCAATGGCCTCCAACCTACTAGCGATGGCCTCCAACCTAATAGCTTCTTGCAAATATATATATATATATATCTGGACTGGAGCCAAGTTTCCAAAGTGACTTGAGAGCTTCAGCAAGAGTCAAGCCGGCTTAATCACCGCCGTTCCTGACTCCACCGTTGTAGATCTCAAAGACACTCTCACCTCATTGGCTCCGTTCGCCGGAGAGTGAACTTCGTACCAGGGGAACTTACTACTTGCTCCTAGTAGCTTCTTGGAACTAGTAGCGATGCCCGGGTTCCTAGTAGCGATGCCAGGAGCTCCTAGTAGCTTCTTGTTCCTAGTAGTAAGGCCAAAAGCCACGTGATTTACTCCAAGAAAAACGTTGTACAGGTTGGGTAAAGTGAGAAGTGAAGAATGATCAGGGTGGACCTCCCTGGAAACGTTCGCCCCATTCGTCACTAAAGGAAGCTCTCTCTCTCTCTCTCTGCTCCTCCAACTCAGCTTGACACTGTATAAAGTTCTACTGCGATGCTTCGGGCAATCATCAGCCCCGGAACACACATGCTCCTCCTTTTTTTTGTGCTTTCGTCCTTTGTCTCTTCCTTTTTTCAGGAGCTCCTAGTAGCTTCTTGTTACTACTAGTAAGGCACCTGTTACTACTAGCGTGGCGCATTGCGTCATTCTCTAATTTCGCTCCGAATCGCTCTCTGGGAGGCACGGGGAGTCATAGACCTTGGCGATCCGCTGTTCTCCCCGGCCCTTGCGGAGCATCACCCGAGTGGTCGAGAAATGCGCCAAGATGTGGCCTCAAACGGGACCGCTTCGGAGAACAGCGCAAAGAGCCTGAATGCCTCCATCCCACTTCCAACAATAGCTACTAGGAACAAGTGCATCGCTAGTAGTAACAAGTGCCTTGCTAGTAGTAACAAGAAGCTATTAGAAACAAGAATTAGTAATTATTGTCAGACCTTTTAGACGTCTTTAGGCCGCTGCTACCCAGTAGCTTCTTGTTACTAGTAGCGATGCCCGGGCTCCTAGTAGCGATGCCAGGAGCTACTAGTAGCTTCTTGTTCCCAGTAGTAAGGCCAGGAGTGCCCCTAGTAGCGTCCCTGCTCCGAGTAGGGATGCCCTTTGTTGCTAGTAGCGTGGCACTTGTTACTACTAGTAAGGCACTTGTTACTACTAGCGTGGCACTTGTTACTAGTAGCGTCCTTGCTATATCTTCTCTTAGTTTTGCCGCACTTCCCCTTTCCACTTCGCCTTTTTCGGCCCAAGCTGCCGCCCACAGGCTTCGGATAGCTGGGCATGAACGCGCAGCCACCGCCCGGGTCAGCCATGACCTGAGCTCAAGGGACGAAGCTCTCTGCTCCTTCCGGAGCTCAAAGGATCCTCCGACTGAGGTTAAAAACACAAAAGAAGCTTTGCTTCTTGTTACTACTAGTAACAAGTGCCACGCTAGTAGTAACAAGTGCCACGCTAGTAGTAACAAGTGCC